GAACAGAAAAATAATAGTAGAATCAACAAAACCAAAAGGTCTTTATATTATGAAAGAATCAAAAAAATTGACAAAGCAATGATTAAAAAAAAAAAAAAAAACAAAAAAAAACAGAGGAGGCAAATAACCCAAATAATAAATGAAATGAGAGACATTACAATACACTCTACCGAAATAAAAAAGATCATAAGAGACTACTATGAAAAACTAAACTCAAACAAATTTGAAAATCCTGTAGGAAATGGATAAATTACTGGAAAAACACTACTTACCCAAACTAACACAAACTGAAGGTGATACTCTGAATAAGCCTATAACAAGAGAGGAAAACAGAAAGCTAATTAAAAAATAAACAAACAAACAAAAAAAATAAACAAAGGCCCAGATGGTTTCTCTGGAGAATTCTAACAAACATTCAGACAAAAGCTTACACCAGAACTTCTCAAAATATTTCAGAAGATAGAAAATGAAGAGACCCTTCTGAATTCATGCTATGAAGCAAGCATAACCCTGCTATCAAATCCAGGCAAAGATACCACAAAAAAAGAAAAATACTGACCAATATCTCTCATGAATACAGACGCAAAAATTCTCAACAAAATTCCAGCCAGTAAAATTCAACATCTTATCAAAAGCATAATACACCATGAACAAGGGTGATTTATAACAGGTATGCAAGGATAGTTCAACATTAGAAAATCAATCAACATAATCCACTGCATAAACAAAATAAAATAAAAGAATCACATGATCATCTCAAATGACACAGAAAAGGCATTGAATAAAGTATAACACCCATTCCAGATAAAAAATCTCCATAAAATAGGTATAGAAGGGAAATTCCTCAACATAATAAAGAGCATCTATACAAAACCAACAACCAACATTATTCTTAATGGAGAGAAGCTGAAAACATTCCCCTTGAGAACAGGAAGGAGACAAGTTTGCCCTTTATCGAAACTCCTATTGAACTATGTACCTTAACTCCCAGCTAGAGCAATAAGGCAAGAAAAAGAAATGAACGGCATAATGAAGAAGTAAAACTGTCCCTTTTTGTGGATGATATGATACTATATATAGAAAACCCAAAATACCATAGGAGAAAACTACTGGAACTAAAAGCAAGATTCAACAGGGTAGCAGGACACAAGGTAAACATACAAAAATAAGTTGAATTCCTACATACCAATAAAGAGATTGATGAAAAAGAAATCAGGAAAACAATACCATTTATACTAGCCCCTAAAAAAGTAAAATATTTAGGAATAAATCTAACCAGGGATGTAAAAGACCTATACAAAGAAAACTACAAAAGACTACAGCAAGAAACCAAAAGATACCTGTATAAATGAAAAACCATACCATGATTATGGATAGGTAGGCTCAACATTGTGAAAATGTCAATTCTACCCAAAGAAATCTACAAAATACAACGCAATCTCTATCTAAATATCAATAGCATTCTTTAAAGAGATGAAAAAAATAATCATTAACTTTATATGGAAAAGGAAGGGGGCCTGGATAAGTAAAGCACTAGTAAAGAAGAAAAAGGAGGAAAACTCGCACTACCTGACCTCAGAACCTACTATACAGCTATGGTAGTCAAAACAGCCTGGTACTGGTGGAACAACATATGCACTGACCATTGGAAAAGAACTGAGAACCCAGATGTAAATTCATGCACCTATGGTCAACTGATCTTCGACAGGGGCCCAAAGTCCATCAAATGTGGAAAAGACAGTATTTTTAACAAATGGTGCTGGCAAAACTGGATGTCTATGTGCAAAAAAAAAAAAACAAAAAACAAAAAACAAAAACAAACAGGACCCATACATCACACCATACACAAAAATTAATTCAAAATGGATCAAACACCTAAATACAAAATGAAAAATTATAAAAATCATACAAGAAAAATATGGTCATTGCTAGAGGCCCTAATACACGACATTAATAGGATACAAACTGTAACCAACAATACATAAACAACAGAAGATAAGCTAGATAACTGAGATCTTCTGAAAATTAAAAAGTTACACTCTTCCAAAGACCACCAATATTAAAAAGAGAACCTATAGACTGGGAAAAAAAAATTGGCTATGGCAAATCCGACAAACGTCTAATCTCTAAAATCTACCAGAAAATCTAACATCTCTAAAACAAAAAGACATAATCCAATTAAAAAATGAGCAAAGGATATGAACAGACACTTCACTAAATAAGACATTCAAGGGGCTAACAGGTATATGAGCAAATGCTCACAATCACTAGCCATTAGAGAAATGCAATTCAAAACCAAAATGAGGTACCATCTCACCCCAGCAATACTGGCACGAATCAAAAAAAAAAAAAAAAAAAACGAAAATAACAAATGTTGGAGACT